TATATATATATATATATATATATATATATATATATATATATATATATTTCACTTTTAATGTGTGCCAGTGTACATACAGTAAAAAAATGACAATAAATGTCATCTTATCTTATCTTCCTTCCTTCTTTCCTTCCCAACCCCATTCCTCCCCACATCCTATTTTGTGTTGGCTTCCCAACCAAGTACTTACCAGGTCTGATCCTGTTTAGCTTTCTAAAATCAGCCTACTGAAATAAATACCAAACTAAACTGCCCAATAAATTACCTACCATCACAATCTTGCACCTGATTTCAATGTAAACAGCCAATCTGCAGTATTACTAAATTTTGCTAGGCATCTGTTGCATGTCACTCTCTTCCTTGATAATCTAGTCCAGAGGTCCCCAAACTTGGCAACTATAAGACTTGTGGACTTCAACTCCCAGAATTCTCCAGCCAGCAAGTTTGGGGACCCCTGAGCTAGTCTTAGCTGGGCAAAACAGTCTGGAGTCACTAGCAAGAGTAGCTCAGTGTGGAGAAAAGTTGTGCATCTCCCCATATTCCTTTCTCCTTGAGCAGCCTCATCCCTTCGTCCTCATTTGTGAAGTGTGCTAAGTTTAAAGGTGATCCTCGTAGTGAGAGGAATATGGGAAGACACACGACTTTTCTCCATACCAAAAGGGCTGCTCTCTCTCTCTCTCTTGCCTCCACTCTTGGCATGGAAAACAGTCAGTGGAAGCAACAGTTAAGGCAGTCGGTCACCCGTCCCAGGGCTCAAGCTCACCATACCTGCAGAGGGTGGGGGATGCAGCAGCAGCAAGGTGGCAATGGTGATTCCAGTGGTATCGGGGCTTCCAGGACCAGTCTGCCCCCCGCCATCCATGCACATCCATGCACATGTGCTGCATCGGGTCTCCCAGACTCTGCTCCCCACAGCCACCATCAGCTGTCCCAGACTTAATCAAGGAGTGCCTTGCTGACACGAGCCTCTCCACATGTTCTTTTCTGCGGCTGCTTTTGGGAGAGCAAGAGTTTCCCAAAACAGCAGAAAGCTTCCAAATCCCCCCCATCGGAAATGGCTCCCGGGCAAGCAGAGAGAAGCAGGATTCAACCCAGTTTGCTTCTCTGCTTGCCCGGGAGCCATTTCTAATGGGGGGGGGGACTTGAAAGCTTTCCACTGTGCTGGGAAATGCTTGTCTCTCATCAACAGTAGCAGGAAGGAACGTGTGGAGGCTCTGGAGGCTCCAGCTAGGTTAGTGGCTGCTTCTATTCTATCACCTGCTGCTGTTTTTGGGAGAGCAAGAGTTTCCCTGCACAGTGGAAAGCTTCCAAGTCCCCCCTCCCATTGGAAATGGCTCCCGGGCAAGCAGAGAAGCAAGCCAGGTTGAAACCTGCTACTCTCTGTGTGCCCGGGAGCTGTTTCTAATGGGAAGGGGACTTGGAAGCTTTCCGCTGTGCAACAGCAGGTGAGAGAAGCAGCCACTGACCTGGCCAGATCCTATACAGCCTCTCCATGTGTTCCTCAGTGAAAGGCGACTGGCAGGAGCAACAAAAGGCAAGTCGGGGAGGCGAACAGCAGCGGCAGCAAAAGGCAAGTGGGAGGGATGGTGACTGAAGGTGGCAACAAAAGGCAAGGGGGGGGGAAGGCAACTGGGGCTTGCAGAGCCTCACTCA